TTATGTGGAGACGAGGGGATCCGCAAAGATCCTTCGACCTTGATTTCAAATCCAAGGTAAGTGATTTTAATATTATTTTTTTGTTTCCTATACATATATACTAATATCTATTTTAAATCTTTTTAGATGCATACGAGAGGGAGTGGCCGGATGATCGGACGACCGAATACATCATAGGGAGTAATCCGTCCCTTTCCTTTTACATTTATGCATTTTATTCAATTTAGCATTATGCATATAGAAATAGATTTATTTTTACGTCGGTCCCGGGACATGCATGCATTAATTTTTTTGTTTCTATATTTTATACTAACTTATTTTCAAGTGTTTTTAATTTGTAGGTAAAGCTTATGTGGAGACGAGGGAGTGGCCGGATGATCGGACGACCGTAGGGAGTAATTCGTCCCTTTCCTTTTACATTTATGCATTTAATTTAATTTAGCATTATGCATATAGAAATAGATTTATTTTTACGTCGGTCCCGGGACATGCATGCATTAATTTTTTTGTTTCTATATTTTATACTAACTTATTTTCAAGTGTTTTTAATTTGTAGGTAAAGCATATGTGGAGATGAGGGGATCCGCAAAGATCCTTCGATCTCGATTTCAAATCCAAGGTAAGTGATTTTAATATTATTTTTTTGTTTCATATACATGTATACTAATATCTATTTTAAATCTTTTTAGATGCATACGAGAGGGAGTGGCCGGATGATCGGACGACCGAATACATCATAGGGAGTAATCCATCCCTTTCCTTTTACATTTATGCATTTTATTTAATTTAGCATTATGCATATAGAAATAGATTTATTTTTACGTCGGTCCCGGGACATGCATGCATTAATTTTTTTGTTTCTATATTTTATACTAACTTGTTTTCAAGTGTTTTTAATTTGTAGGTAAAGCTTATGTGGAGACGAGGGGATCCGCAAAAATCCTTCGATCTCGATTTCAAATCCAAGGTAAGTGATTTTAATACTATTTTTTTGTTTCCTATACATATATACTAATATCTATTTTAAATCTTTTTAGATGCATACGAGAGGGAGTGGCCGGATGATCGGACGACCGAATACATCATAGGGAGTAATACGTCCCTTTCCTTTTACATTTATGCATTTTATTTAATTTAGCATTATGCATATAGAAATAGATTTATTTTTACGTCGGTCCCGGGACATGCATGCATTAATTTTTTTGTTTCTATATTTTATACTAACTTGTTTTCAAGTGTTTTTAATTTGTAGGTAAAGCTTATGTGGAGACGAGGGGATCCGCAAAGATCCTTCGATCTCGATTTCAAATCCAAGGTAAGTGATTTTTATACTATTTTTTTGTTTCCTATACATATATACTAATATCTATTTTAAATCTTTTTAGATGCATACGAGAGGGAGTGGTCGGATGATCGGACGACCGTAGGGAGTAATTCGTCCCTTTCCTTTTACATTTATGCATTTAATTTAATTTAGCATTATGCATATAGAAATAGATTTATTTTTACGTCGGTCCCGGGACATGCATGCACTAATTTTTTTGTTTCTATATTTTATACTAACTTATTTTCAAGTGTTTTTAATTTGTAGGTAAAGCTTATGTGGAGACGAGGGAGTGGCCGGATGATCGGACGACCGTAGGGAGTAATTCGTCCCTCTCCTTTTACATTTATGCATTTAATTTAATTTAGCATTATGCATATAGAAATAGATTTATTTTTACGTCGGTCCCGGGACATGCATGCATTAATTTTTTTGTTTCTATATTTTATACTAACTTATTTTCAAGTGTTTTTAATTTGTAGGTAAAGCTTATGTGGAGACGAGGGGATCCGCAAAGATCCTTCGATCTCGATTTCAAATCCAAGGTAAGTGATTTTAATACTATTTTTTTCTTTCCTATACATATATACTAATATCTATTTTAAATCTTTTTAGATGCATACGAGAGGGAGTGGCCGGATGATCGGACGACCGAATACATCATAGGGAGTAATCCGTCCCTTTCCTTTTACATTTATGCATTTTATTTAATTTAGCATTATGCATATAGAAATAGATTTATTTTTACGTCGGTCCCGGGACATGCATGCATTAATTTTTTTGTTTCTATATTTTATACTAACTTATTTTCAAGTGTTTTTAATTTGTAGGTAAAGCTTATGTGGAGACGAGGGGATCCGCAAAGATCCTTCGATCTCGATTTCAAATCCAAGGTAAGTGATTTTAATACTATTTTTTTGTTTCCTATACATATATACTAATATCTATTTTAAATCTTTTTAGATACATACGAGAGGGAGTGGCCGGATGATCGGACGACCGAATACATCATAGGGAGTAATCCGTCCCTTTCCTTTTACATTTATGCATTTTATTTAATTTAGGATTATGCATATAGAAATAGATTTATTTTTACGTCGGTCCCGGGACATGCATGCATTAATTTTTTTGTTTCTATATTTTATACTAACTTATTTTCAAGTGTTTTTAATTTGTAGGTAAAGCTTATGTGGAGACGAGGGGATCCGCAAAGATCCTTCGACCTTGATTTCAAATCCAAGGTAAGTGATTTTAATATTATTTTTTTGTTTCCTATACATATATACTAATATCTATTTTAAATCTTTTTAGATGCATACGAGAGGGAGTGGCCGGATGATCGGACGACCGAATACATCATAGGGAGTAATCCGTCCCTTTCCTTTTACATTTATGCATTTTATTCAATTTAGCATTATGCATATAGAAATAGATTTATTTTTACGTCGGTCCCGGGACATGCATGCATTAATTTTTTTGTTTCTATATTTTATACTAACTTATTTTCAAGTGTTTTTAATTTGTAGGTAAAGCTTATGTGGAGACGAGGGAGTGGCCGGATGATCGGACGACCGTAGGGAGTAATTCGTCCCTTTCCTTTTACATTTATGCATTTAATTTAATTTAGCATTATGCATATAGAAATAGATTTATTTTTACGTCGGTCCCGGGACATGCATGCATTAATTTTTTTGTTTCTATATTTTATACTAACTTATTTTCAAGTGTTTTTAATTTGTAGGTAAAGCATATGTGGAGATGAGGGGATCCGCAAAGATCCTTCGATCTCGATTTCAAATCCAAGGTAAGTGATTTTAATATTATTTTTTTGTTTCATATACATGTATACTAATATCTATTTTAAATCTTTTTAGATGCATACGAGAGGGAGTGGCCGGATGATCGGACGACCGAATACATCATAGGGAGTAATCCATCCCTTTCCTTTTACATTTATGCATTTTATTTAATTTAGCATTATGCATATAGAAATAGATTTATTTTTACGTCGGTCCCGGGACATGCATGCATTAATTTTTTTGTTTCTATATTTTATACTAACTTGTTTTCAAGTGTTTTTAATTTGTAGGTAAAGCTTATGTGGAGACGAGGGGATCCGCAAAAATCCTTCGATCTCGATTTCAAATCCAAGGTAAGTGATTTTAATACTATTTTTTTGTTTCCTATACATATATACTAATATCTATTTTAAATCTTTTTAGATGCATACGAGAGGGAGTGGCCGGATGATCGGACGACCGAATACATCATAGGGAGTAATACGTCCCTTTCCTTTTACATTTATGCATTTTATTTAATTTAGCATTATGCATATAGAAATAGATTTATTTTTACGTCGGTCCCGGGACATGCATGCATTAATTTTTTTGTTTCTATATTTTATACTAACTTGTTTTCAAGTGTTTTTAATTTGTAGGTAAAGCTTATGTGGAGACGAGGGGATCCGCAAAGATCCTTCGATCTCGATTTCAAATCCAAGGTAAGTGATTTTTATACTATTTTTTTGTTTCCTATACATATATACTAATATCTATTTTAAATCTTTTTAGATGCATACGAGAGGGAGTGGTCGGATGATCGGACGACCGTAGGGAGTAATTCGTCCCTTTCCTTTTACATTTATGCATTTAATTTAATTTAGCATTATGCATATAGAAATAGATTTATTTTTACGTCGGTCCCGGGACATGCATGCACTAATTTTTTTGTTTCTATATTTTATACTAACTTATTTTCAAGTGTTTTTAATTTGTAGGTAAAGCTTATGTGGAGACGAGGGAGTGGCCGGATGATCGGACGACCGTAGGGAGTAATTCGTCCCTTTCCTTTTGCATTTATGCATTTAATTTAATTTAGCATTATGCATATAGAAATAGATTTATTTTTACGTCGGTCCCGGGACATGCATGCATTAATTTTTTTGTTTCTATATTTTATACTAACTTATTTTCAAGTGTTTTTAATTTGTAGGTAAAGCATATGTGGAGATGAGGGGATCCGCAAAGATCCTTCGATCTCGATTTCAAATCCAAGGTAAGTGATTTTAATATTATTTGTTTGTTTCATATACATGTATACTAATATCTATTTTAAATCTTTTTAGATGCATACGAGAGGGAGCGACCGGATGATCGGACGACCGAATACATCATAGGGAGTAATCCATCCCTTTCCTTTTACATTTATGCATTTTATTTAATTTAGCATTATGCATATAGAAATAGATTTATTTTTACGTCGGTCCCGGGACATGCATGCATTAATTTTTTTGTTTCTATATTTTATACTAACTTATTTTCAAGTGTTTTTAATTTGTAGGTAAAGCTTATGTGGAGACGAGGGGATCCGCAAAGATCCTTCGACCTTGATTTCAAATCCAAGGTAAGTGATTTTAATATTATTTTTTTGTTTCCTATACATATATACTAATATCTATTTTAAATCTTTTTAGATGCATACGAGAGGGAGTGGCCGGATGATCGGACGACCGAATACATCATAGGGAGTAATCCGTCCCTTTCCTTTTACATTTATGCATTTTATTCAATTTAGCATTATGCATATAGAAATAGATTTATTTTTACGTCGGTCCCGGGACATGCATGCATTAATTTTTTTGTTTCTATATTTTATACTAACTTATTTTCAAGTGTTTTTAATTTGTAGGTAAAGCATATGTGGAGACGAGGGGATCCGCAAAGATCCTTCGATCTCGATTTCAAATCCAAGGTAAGTGATTTTTATACTATTTTTTTGTTTCCTATACATATATACTAATATCTATTTTAAATCTTTTTAGATGCATACGAGAGGGGGTGGTCGGATGATCGGACGACCGTAGGGAGTAATTCGTCCCTTTCCTTTTACATTTATGCATTTAATTTAATTTAGCATTATGCATATAGAAATAGATTTATTTTTACGTCGGTCCCGGGACATGCATGCACTAATTTTTTTGTTTCTATATTTTATACTAACTTATTTTCAAGTGTTTTTAATTTGTAGGTAAAGCTTATGTGGAGACGAGGGAGTGGCCGGATGATCGGACGACCGTAGGGAGTAATTCGTCCCTTTCCTTTTACATTTATGCATTTAATTTAATTTAGCATTATGCATGTAGAAATAGATTTATTTTTACGTCGGTCCCGGGACATGCATGCATTAATTTTTTTGTTTCTATATTTTATACTAACTTATTTTCAAGTGTTTTTAATTTGTAGGTAAAGCATATGTGGAGATGAGGGGATCCGCAAAGATCCTTCGATCTCGATTTCAAATCCAAGGTAAGTGATTTTAATATTATTTTTTTGTTTCATATACATGTATACTAATATCTATTTTAAATCTTTTTAGATGCATACGAGAGGGAGCGACCGGATGATCGGACGACCGAATACATCATAGGGAGTAATCCATCCCTTTCCTTTTACATTTATGCATTTTATTTAATTTAGCATTATGCATATAGAAATAGATTTATTTTTACGTCGGTCCCGGGACATGCATGCATTAATTTTTTTGTTTCTATATTTTATACTAACTTATTTTCAAGTGTTTTTAATTTGTAGGTAAAGCATATGTGGAGACGAGGGGATCCGCAAAGATCTTTCGATCTCGATTTCAAATCCAAGGTAAGTGATTTTAATACTATTTTTTTGTTTCCTATACATATATACTAATATCTATTTTAAATCTTTTTAGATACATACGAGAGGGAGTGGCCGGATGATCGGACGACCGAATACATCATAGGGAGTAATCCGTCCCTTTCCTTTTACATTTATGCATTTTATTTAATTTAGGATTATGCATATAGAAATAGATTTATTTTTACGTCGGTCCCGGGACATGCATGCATTAATTTTTTTGTTTCTATATTTTATACTAACTTATTTTCAAGTGTTTTTAATTTGTAGGTAAAGCTTATGTGGAGACGAGGGGATCCGCAAAGATCCTTCGACCTTGATTTCAAATCCAAGGTAAGTGATTTTAATATTATTTTTTTGTTTCCTATACATATATACTAATATCTATTTTAAATCTTTTTAGATGCATACGAGAGAGAGTGGCCGGATGATCGGACGACCGAATACATCATAGGGAGTAATCCGTCCCTTTCCTTTTACATTTATGCATTTTATTCAATTTAGCATTATGCATATAGAAATAGATTTATTTTTACGTCGGTCCCGGGACATGCATGCACTAATTTTTTTGTTTCTATATTTTATACTAACTTATTTTCAAGTGTTTTTAATTTGTAGGTAAAGCTTATGTGGAGACGAGGGAGTGGCCGGATGATCGGACGACCGTAGGGAGTAATTCGTCCCTTTCCTTTTACATTTATGCATTTAATTTAATTTAGCATTATGCATATAGAAATAGATTTATTTTTACGTCGGTCCCGGGACATGCATGCATTAATTTTTTTGTTTCTATATTTTATACTAACTTATTTTCAAGTGTTTTTAATTTGTAGGTAAAGCATATGTGGAGATGAGGGGATCCGCAAAGATCTTTCGATCTCGATTTCAAATCCAAGGTAACTGATTTTAATATTATTTTTTTGTTTCATATACATGTATACTAATATCTATTTTAAATCTTTTTAGATGCATACGAGAGGGAGTGGCCGGATGATCGGACGACCGAATACATCATAGGGAGTAATCCATCCCTTTCCTTTTACATTTATGCATTTTATTTAATTTAGCATTATGCATATAGAAATAGATTTATTTTTACGTCGGTCCCGGGACATGCATGCATTAATTTTTTTATTTCTATATTTTATACTAACTTATTTTCAAGTGTTTTTAATTTGTAGGTAAAGCTTATGTGGAGACGAGGGGATCCGCAAAGATCCTTCGATCTCGATTTCAAATCCAAGGTAAGTGATTTTAATATTATTTTTTTGTTTCCTATACATATACTAATATCTATTTTAAATCTTTTTAGATGCATACAAGAGGGAGCGGCCGGATACATCATATGGAGTAATCCGTCCCTTTACATTTATGCATTTAATTTAATTTAGCATTATGCATATAGAAATAGATTTATTATTACGTCGGTCCCGGGACATGCATGCATTCATTTTTTTGTTTCTATATTTTATACTAACTTATTTTCAAGTGTTTTTAATTTGTAGGTAAAGCTTATGTGGAGACGAGGGGATCCGCAAAGATCCTTCGATCTCGATTTCAAATTCATGGTAAGTGATTTTAATATTATTTTTTTGTTTCCTATACATATATACTAATATATATTTTAAATCTTTTTAGATGCATACGAGAGGGAGCGACCGGATGATCGGACGACCGAATACATCATAGGGAGTAATCCGTCCCTTTCCTTTTACATTTATGCATTTAATTTAATTTAGCATTATGCATATAGAAATAGATTTATTTTTATGTCGGTCCCGGGACATGCATGCATTAATTTTTTTGTTTCTATATTTTATACTAACTTATTTTCAAGTGTTTTTAATTTGTAGGTAAAGCTTATGTGGAGACGAGGGGATCCGCAAAGATCCTTCGATCTCGATTTCAAATCCAAAGTAAGTGATTTAAATATTATTTTTTTGTTTCCTATACATATACTAATATCTATTTTAAATGTTTTTAGATGCATACGAGAGGGAGCGGCCGGATGATCGGACAACCGAATACATCATAGGGAGTAATCCGTCCCTTTCCTTTTACATTTATGCATTTAATTTAATTTAGCATTATGCATATAGAAATAGATTTATTTTTACGTCGGTCCCGGGACATGCATGCATTCATTCATTTTGTTTCAATATTTTATACTAACTTATTTTCAAGTGTTTTTAATTTGTAGGTAAAACTTATGTGGAGACGAGGGGATCCGCAAAGATCATTCGATCTCGATTTCAAATCCAAGGTAAGTGATTTTAATATTATTTTTTTGTTTCCTATACATATACTAATATCTATTTTAAATCTTTTTAGATGCATACGAGAGGGAGCGGCCGGATGATCGGACGACCGAATACATCAGAGGGAGTAATCCGTCCCTTTCCTTTTACATTTATGCGTTTAATTTAATTTAGCATTATGCATATAGAAATAGATTTATTTTTACGTCGGTCCCGGGACATGCATGCATTCATTCATTTTGTTTCAATATTTTATACTAACTTATTTCAAGTGTTTTTAATTTGTAGGTAAAGCTTATGTGGAGACGAGGGGATCGGCAAAGATCCTTCGATCTCGATTTCAAATCCAAGGTAAGTGATTTTAATATTATTTTTTTGTTTCCTATTCATATATACTAATATCTATTTTAAATCTTTTTATATGCATACGAGAGGGAGCGGCCGGATGATCGGACGACCGAATACATCATAGGGAGTATATCGTTTTTTTTCTTTTACATTTATGCATTGCATTTATTCTAGCATCTTGTATATAGAAATAGAATTATTTTTACGTCCCGGGACTTGCATGCATTCATTTTGTTTCTAAATTTTATACTAACTTCCTTTTTAGTGTTTTCACTTTGTAGGTAAAGCTTGTGAGAGATGAGAGGATCCACAAAGATCCTTCAACACCGATTTCAAATCCAATGTAAGTTGTTTTAATATTATTTTGTTATTTCCTATGCATATATACTAATATATATTTTAAATTATTTTAGATGCATATGAGATGGAGCGGCAGGATGATCAAACGACCGAAAACATAGTAGGGAGTATATCATCTTTTTTCTTTTACATTTATGCATTGCATTTATTTTAGCATCCTGCATATAGAAATAGAATTATTTTTACGTCCCGGGACTTACATGCATTCATTTTCTTTCTAAATTTTATACTAACTTCTTTTTTAGTGTTTTTACTTTGTAGGTAAAGCTTAAGGGAGACGATAGGATCCGCAAAGATCCTTCAACACCGATTTCAAACCCAAGGTAAGTGGTTTTATTATTATTTTGTTGTTTCCTATATATATATATATATATATACTGATATCTATTTTAAATCTTTCTAGATGCATAGGAGAGGGAGCGGCCAGATGATCGGATGACCGAAAATATTTTACGGAGTAGTTAGTCGTTTTTCTTTTATATTTCCGCATTGCATTTACATTAGCATCTTACATATAATAATAGAATTATGTTTAGCTCCCAGGGCTTGGATGTATTAATTTTGTTTCTAAATTTTATCCTTATTTGTTTTAAAGTGTATTTAGTTTGTAGGTAAAGTTTATGTGGAGTCTACTACTATCAAATCCATATTCGACACGAACAAATAAAGATTTGGGTCTAAAAAATAGTTCCAAGCTATTTTTAGGTCAGGCCAACCCGGTATGGTTGAATAACCAAACTGGTTTGAGGCCTATGCAAATTATGACGTGCCTAGCAGGGTCTAGTTGATTAAAATATTCTAAGAAAAAATATTTTTTAATATAATATTAACTATATAATAAAATTAATAATTAATTAATGTTTAAATTCTTAATTATCAATAAACTACTGTCCTAATTATATCAATTTAGATTAATATAATTTATTATTTAATAAAAAATGATATATTATTTTTAAAATCTAATATTAAAAATCTGCGTTGGGCTGGCTTGGCCCGGTATAATTTGAAACCGGGCCATGCCTTGGTTTGGGTTTTCAAGCCCAATGCAAAATCAGGCCGAACCTATCGGGCTTGAATTTTAAAACAGCCCGAGCCAGCCCAAAAAATATTACTCCCTCCCTCGCAAAAAATGCACTAATTTTTTGCGTGGTGGGGGGAGTAATACCAGCTTTAAATTGCCACATTTTTTTTTTTTCAAATATGATATCAACTTTCTCAAATAATAAAAGCAAGATACCTTGAAATATGAATCCACCGATATGCTGAAAGCTTTTTTCTTTAAATCCGCCGATATGCTGAAGCTTATTCCAGCAATACCTTTGTATCGAACTGCAATGGTGCACCAGAGAAGTCATTTTCCAATGCTTTTACATATACCTCTTGAAAGTAAGAAATTAAGGAAAAAAAAAAAACACAAATCATGCCTACACTGGTTTTTCAAATATCTATTATTATGAAATTGTCCAAAGCATTATTATTACGAAATACAGTTTACCAATTCTCTAAACTAAGACTACTTAGTATCAGCTCGCAAACAATTTGTCCATACCATCTTTAATGTGCCAACATAACTCAGGGGAAGAAAAAAAATGCCCGTGAGAAAATTATTAAACACAACATGACAACTATTTTAAACATTTTAATAAAATTTGACCCATTTGCCTTATGGAAATATGTTCAGCAATTAGTGGACAAAAAATTAATGTTCATACATAGACACGAATACTAGAAACCATATTACTCTTTTTGTACATTTTTTATTATAAAACTCAGAAGGTAACAAAAAGTACACAACCATTTAAATAACACGTTGCAATACTTCAAACACACATTCGACTGCGCATACCTGCAATACCCCTGGGTTTATTTGCAATAGTTTTATTTGTAAGAGGAACTAAAATTTATAAATTGAGAAGATAAATATTGCATTCAAATAATATAATTTAGATAAAAAAAAATTTATAGTCCTCCTCTCTTTACTTTTTATTTGCAATAGTTTTATAATTGTTTTTTAATTATAAAAGAGAAAAAAAAATGAAGCTATAAAAAATAAAAATAAAAATAAAAATAAATCAAAATATTTCACATTAAAAACAATATATAATAAATACTAACCTCCTCTACTAAAAAACTATGGTCATATTTGGGTTGCGCACAAAATTTAAAGAATATTAATATTATATTGATAATTGTAAAAAATATAAGTATAAAAAGTAGTAGCATTTGTGTAACAATAATAAAAAAATAATATTAAATTTTGCAGGATTTTACATGCTCGAGAGGTACGTCCGATCACTTGTGATTTCATTAGTATTATAAATATAAAAATATTAATATTTTTAAATTTTAAAAATTTTAAAAAATCATTTCTAAAAATAAATAGAAACAAAACGGTCATATTTTAAAAGTTTTTTTATCGTAATGATTTCATTAGTATTATAGTAATATATATATAATATGAATATTTTTTAATTATAAAGATTTTTTTAAAAAAAAATATTACTTGTAAAAATAAATAGAGACCATAACGGTCATAATAATAAGATTTTAAAAGATCTTATGACTAATGGTTTCCTTAATTGCTAATCACCAACATACTTTGATTGGGCAAGAAGAAAAAAGAACGAAGGAAAGGTAGACTTGGATTGTTAGAGATTCGACCTGGACTGCTGCGGGCAGCAGCTCCATTTTTGGGTGACACAGTGCGCAAACCAGGTTGAGTAAGCTTGTGGGTTGGGAGTGCGAGGGGATGATTTCACCTGACAAAAAAAAAAAGAGAGAATACTTTAGTAATACAGCTCAGAGAGTATGATATCCGAAATTCAGTAAATGTAATTAAGCTCACTTGCAATGGGACTTTTATATGCATTACTAACCCCATCAAAGAACCCGATTTTGGGAGAAGCCATTCGTAATCCTGTTGGTTTCCCTAAACCCTGAACAACGCTACTGGATTGCCCTCTGCCTGAAGTAGAAGAATTCGTTAGAGAAGTCTTCGAAGGCTGGCACTGCAGGCCTTGGCAACATCCTTCCTGCGCCGACAGCTACTTTTGGGAGTTGGGTTCCTTTACTTGTGGTAGTTAGTGTCAATAAATAATACTAACATTAGGCACAAGATGATTTCTGATTTCATTTAAACACACACAAGATGAGTTCCTTGGCAATGATTTCTGATACTTTCAAATCCCCATTGAAGTGAAAACTTAAAACCAAATTTACAAGAATCGAATCAAATGAAAACTTCATATACTTTCAAATGTACTGCATATCTCATCCCAAACCTAGTTTGGAAGCTTAAACCATTCGACAAGATAAGAACACTAACAATTTCTTAAACATATCCAAAATCTGACTGTGCTAAATGCTAACACTAAATAAACAACCGCTGTAAGAATTTGCACCTTCTAAGGCAATATTATGATTCATTTAGATAACCTACAGGCTCTGCAACCAACTATGGTTAGAGCTAAGAACAACAACTTAGCAGAATTCATTCAATGGATGCAATTTAATCAATAAGAAAGAATTAATCTACCAACTTCAAATCGTGTTACCCAAATTTATAGATAAAGTGAATATTCGGAGCTAAAACCTAATTTGAACAGAGTTAAGGAGCAGAGCAAAACAAAAATTAAGCCAGTCAAACTTCAACCAGGCAAATAAACCAAAATCAACCGACTGAATCATGGAGGAAGATAATCAAAGCATCTACGCCCAAAATGCTACCATACTCACAAGATGATCAGCATAAAGTTGTATTATTAACTGGAACAAGGAGAGCTTCGAATTCATACCTGATCAGAATCGCTGATTCATTCATTCACACAGTCGAATTCATTCCCAGGATCATCCGTGCTCGGAAATGAAATGCCTGAATTCCAGTCACCATAGCATCAGGAAGACCTCTCCTACACCGCTGCTCCATCTCCCGAAAACAACGCCTCCACAGATCCATCCCGGCGGTTCCGAACCCAACCTTTCAACCCTAACTCCTTCGCATTATCAATCGTCCAATTCCGATAGATCCGACGCACCTTGCACTCTCCCCCTTATCACCATTCTCACCTGATTCAAACACCAAATTAGAACGAAACAGAAATCTATTAATGAAATTGAGAAATCGCTTACTGTTTTGACAGAGGCCTCCTCCTGCGGCGAGTTCATCGAGGACATAGTAGAGAATAGAGTGCGTAGACGGTGTCGGAGCAGAGGAGGAGGAGAATGAGGAAGATGAAGACGACGGTACAGCGGAGGAGGAGAACGAGGAAGAAGAGAAGTATGATGAGGAAGAAGAGGAGGTCGCGCGAATGTCAGGCGGCAGAGCGCATTGGCATTGCTACGCCATTGGAGATGCTTCAGATCTGAAATCGTGGTTTGGAACAATAGCGATTTTGTCGCCATTTCTGTTAAAGTCGCAAATCGGAAGTGTGGAAAAGTGATTGGTAGTGTTGTTTGTGGTTCTGCCAGAGTAACCATGGGTGTGTTTGTTTGGGTTTAATTTTGAATTGGGATTTGAATAGTTAAAATTTTAAATTTTTAATAGTTGTATGATGTGATATAATTTAGATATTGATGTGATGTTTTAAATGTAAATATTGATTTTTAGTATAATATAAAAAATAAAAAAATAGATGTTTGATTTGATATTTTTTGGGAAAAAATTAAATAAATAGTAAAAATTAAATCCAATTCCCCAAACAAACACACCTTTAAATATATAAAAATTACAAATATTTTTAATTTTTATATATTTGAAAGAATATTAAAAATTATATATATAAAAAAAATAACAAATAAACTTGTTCAAATAGTTTGAATTAAAATTATCAGTTTTAATGTTTGAAAATGTCAAATCAAAATGAAATTTTCTATAATTTTAATTTATATTTTCTTATTTTGATTTCAGTTCTGTCGGTTCAAAAGCCACATATTATATTTGACAATGTTATTTTATGTTTATTCCTTTTTAATTATTTTATTTTTATTTTTAATTAATAAAAAATATAATTTTAATGTTATTTTATTTATGAATATATTTTTTGGATAAAAATTCATATAAATAATATAAATAACAATTAAATAAATTGTCACACAAAATAAAAATTAATTACGCTGAATATATATAATATAATAAATCCGATTAAATAATACTATAACAAAAAATATAAATTTAAAATATTATTATTATTATTAAAATAAAATAAAAATGAGAATAATAATAAATATATTTTTTTAGAACTAATGTACTTTTAATATTTTTGTTAAATATTTGAATTTTTTTTTATATACATACAAGTGTACTGTGTATATTTGAAATTATGTAAATCACTAAAAAAAATATTTAATCCACAATTTATAAACTCTAATCAAGTCTAGATAAATAAATAAATAATCCAATCAAATCTATCAAAATTCATATAAATCAATAGACAAAATCAATTAAACTCTACATAGATTCTATAGAATTTATAAATTCACTAACTTTTCAAAATCCAAACAAATCCATTAAAATTCTAATTGAATACACCCCTTTAATGTTCATGTTATTGACAACCAATAAAAATATTTTATTATATTTTATATTTATTTTACAAAAAACATTTGTACCAAAATTCAAAAAATTTTATATCCAAAACATAAAAGACGGTATTTACTTGAAATTTTATTTTGATTTTTTATATCACATATTAATTTATTTTTTATCATAAATTTTACCTCAAATATTTGAATTTTTTAATTATTTTAAAATATTTAAAACTTCATAAATATATTTTTTAATATATGTCTAAATAAATCCATCGGTACAAGCAGCCGACAACACATACATTTGTAATATACTAATAAAAATAATTTTTTTAAAAAAAACACTAAGAATGTTCTTTTTTTTTGGTACACTTAATTCTACGTATTTACTAATTAGTTAATATTTTTTTCTATGACGTAAAAATCGGCAACCATTACCCGAAAGTGGATATCTGGTAAACTCCTGGCCGCACTTAGTAGTTAGTACCCTGCAAACAATTAGTTAGGAGTATTTTTTACGACGGCTATTGGAGTTTGGACTGTTTCTTATTAGAATCTTTTTCACTTTTGTGCAAGATGACATTTTTTTAAAAATTAGTTTTTTAAAAAAAAAAAAAATTCATACTATTAATAAAATTATAATTTTTTAAATATAGTATATTACAAATTTTTTTATTTTATAAAATATTGCATTAAATATTCTTTTTTGTTTTATTATTCTGAATTTTTTTTAAAATTTATAAACTTTCATCTAAAGTGAATGGTTCTGTATTTAACTCTACATAAATTAAATGAATATATTAATAATATTTTTTTGTGCTTTCCTAAATCTCTTGTTAATTTTATTTAAGTTCACCATACATGTAATGCACTCTCTATTGTTAATTAATTATTGTCTTTGTTTCAGCTGATTTGTTCCTTTGGGCACGGAGTTTATATATTATATAATTAATAAATAATTAAAAAATATATGAATAAAAATAATTATGATCCAATAAAAATAATTATAAATTAAAATTAATATACTTAAATAGTTTAATTAATATAAAAAAATTATAAATTTAAAATTTTAAAATATAATTAAAGTGTATAATTATATTTTAAAAAAATAATTTACGTGAGATGGACGAATATGAAAAAAAAAATAGACAAGTTAAATAGGACAAATGTAATAATATTTTTCTCATAATATTATAAAAAAACATTATCCACTGAAAAAAATCAAGAATTCTATTGAATATCCACTTGCTTATTTGTATATATAAAAAAACACACACACACACATTACATAAATGTATATACACAGGATTTGTGTGATATAGTTTTATTTAAATAATATTTTAATTTGATGTAAAAAATACTACTCTATTCATCCAAAATATAAGACAATTAGCGTAGATATAAAAATTTAAAATAGTACAATTAATAAATAATTAAGAATATATTATTAAAATTAATTACAATAGTATAATTTAATACTAGTTATTAAAACTAGAATAACTAATCAGTTTAATTAAATTTTTTTAAAAAAAAATAAAATTTAAAATATGATTAAATAGTTTAAAAATAATTAAAATATGATTTGTTATTTTATTTTTGGAAATATAATTATACACATTTATCACATTTTAAAATTTCTAATTCATAATTTTTTTTATTTTAATTAAACTATTTAATTATTTTAATATTAATTTATAATTATTCTTACTAATACAATTCTTAATTACATACTAATTACACAATATCTAAAGCGTCGTACTTATAAAACTCCGTGCATAAACAAAACGAGACAATTTAATTCAGACGGGGAAAATATTAATTTTAACAAAATATTCTTTTCATTCAAACTTAATGTATATTTTATTAATTTTTATTTGTTTATTAAAAAGTAATTAATTTATAATTATAATAAAAATAATTATATTAAAATATCCCTAAAAATTTGAGATTAACATTTTTTTAAAAAAACCAAAGCAGGATCAAAATATTACAATAGTATTCTAATTTAGAACATTGACTATTATTTTTTATTTGGGATGAAAATGATCCAAATATCAAATAATTTAATTATTATTTAATAGGAAATTAATTATTTGATTTTTTTATCTTAATTTATTTATTAGTTAATATACGTTCACAGAGCGTATCCAAATTTTAATTAATTCATAAAAAAAATAATAATTTAATTTCTATATTAAAAAAAAATGTAATTTAAATATATTTTAAGAAATGCTATACACGTGTGTGGAACAATTCAAAATTTCAAAAATAATGTAAGGTATGTTCGTTTGATTTTTTTAAATATTTTGTTTTATAAGTAATTTATACGAAAATGATTAGGTTGTTTATCGAAGATAATCAACATATGAAATATAACATACACTATATGTGATGTAAATATTCTTAACATGTGTTGTCTGCATTTTTTTACGTGAATATTGTATGTTGGGATTATTTGTAGATTGTTGTAACGTACTATCAATATATTTGTCGTATTTATATTATATTATTATATAATAATAAACTCAATATATCATAAGAAAGTGTTTCATTCGTCTAAAGAAATGTCTGAATTTGAATTTTTTTAATTTAACTAATATTTTAATGTATATTATATTTTGTAAAAGAAAATAATCTCTCCGTCCTAATACAATAGTCTTGTTTATCATTTTTGTCCATTCTAAAACAATAGTCTCATTTCCTTAAATAATCGTATCACTATAAAACTACCATTACTTTTTTAATTATTATTACACAATTGCCACTACTTTTTACACTAATACACTCACAAAGACAAAAAAATCTTTTACCCGTATTATTTACCCACTACCAATATAATATCAATATTCTTAAATCCTGTGCCAAACACAATCCAGACTATAGTTCTGGAACGGATGGAGTAATATATATATATTTTTTTATTTTTTTTTTGGTAAAAATCACGTCGACTAAATAATAAAAGTATTAATTTGAACTACAAATCAATGAAATTATTGCTTTTGTTGAAAAATCAGGGCTTGTCTGGTTTGTATTTAAAATAGCCAATCAACATTTTATGAAATAAAAAAATATATATTATTGATAAATAACAGCATTAAAACTTTCAAAATTATGCAGGCAAATTGAACATTAAATAAGTTTTACTATTTTTAAAAAACGTTAGTCTAAATACGTTAGTCTAAATGCACAAATAATGAGAGAGTATGACCTAATTATGTCAATTTTGTTGAATCGTTGATGGAGGAAAAGGTCCACGACGTAAATTTATTTGGGATGATTTGGAAGATGTTCGACCCCGGAGTTTTGAACGTCGAGTTCCGTTCGTTCGCGAAAGGATGCGGACTTCCGCAAGAAGGGACGCTCTCGCCGATACTCATGAACATATATTTCGATCGGGAGGTGTATCGATTATCATCGATGCGGTATACGATATGCGCGCCGTGCGAGAACGCATCGCAGTCGAAGCTGCGCGGCGTTTTTTGAAGGCAGATAAATGGGAGCGATCGCGAGAAAATCCCGAGCACGAGAGTCCATAGTTGTCGATTCATGGACGAGTTTTTCTTCGCCATGACGGGTTCGAAGGAAGTAGCGGTTGATTTCAAATCCGACATAACAAATTTCTTGAAGAACTCTCTCGATTTGGATGTCGACGAGGGTGATCGAAACGATGTTTTGGCGTCGAATGACCCTCACGGCGTTCGATTTCTCGGATTGTGTATCAGAAGGCGCCCGAGAGAGAATGACGGCGGCGGCGTTCAAGCCGTACATAAATTGCGGGACAAAGTCAAGATCTTCGCCGAACAAAAACCCTAGTCATGGATCGAAGGGGAGTTTCAAATCGGGCGGAAATGGCTGGCTCATGGCTTGTAGAAGGTTAAAGAATCGGAGATCCAACAGTTAGCGGACCCAAACTCGA